GGGGGGGCGGAGCGCCCCGCTTGCATAATGGTAGGGGAAACACACTAGATAGAGTGTCGCGCACACTTTTCATAACCCCAGCTTTCCTCAAACTAAAGTAATGAGGTCTTCTAGTGACTTCATCAAAGAGGGACATAGTTTGCCATGTGCGATTAAACAAATTCTCTTTGGCGTTAGGACGTTCTGTTGAACGTTACAGCAATTTAAACACCCACGTAATTAATCAAAAACTAAAATACCTGTAGAAGAGGTTCTGAAGACACCATGGGAATTATGTAATACTTACAACTTGTGAACGAACATCACAGAGCAACAAAAAGGGCCAGACTAATAAGTTTTGTTTCCTGCAGGGGCAGGTATTTTTCTGCTCGCTTCAGCAGAGAGCGAACAGATCAGCTTCCTGTTCGACTGCATCGTCAGAGGCATCTCCCCGAGCAGAGGCCCATTTGGACTGCGGCCCGTTCTGCCAGGTTGGTACCAAAGCTCTTTAATGTTGCTTAGCTTGAAAATGACAGGGAAATCTGGAATTTACAACGTTTGAGACAGATCTCGAAAGGAACGTATTTTAGAGAGAGCATCCATCAAGCGCAGCTTCCAACTTCCTGTCAGATGTTAAACTGGTCCGCTGACAGTTTATTGTAATGTAGACAGCTGTGGAAAGAAACTAAATAAAAAAAGAACAATTGTACCTTGTATTCTTAATGGCTCTAAATGTTAAATATGGACAGGTATCATTTTAAGACCAATCTAGACATAATAACTAAGCACAAAATAACTGTTCTGCCCTGTTCTAACAATGAATTAATTGATTCAGTCAAAATTCCAGTAAAATATCCCACAATTTTCACAAGATCAAATTATGTTTTTCCTCTTGAATCGGTGGCTGTTTTACAATCGGCTCATTGTTGCTCAAACTGTTACAAGTTGTTTATGGAGGGTGAAATGTGACTAAATTAAATAAATAAATGCAAAAGTAACGAAATGTATCATTTCATTTTTCAGTACATCATTAAATATGCAATTAAATTATTAAATACACAATGAATTATATGCCACATGAAATAAATAAATGTACCTTTTAAATAATGGCATTAAATAATTTAATGTCATTTTGAACATTTTTTTACTTAAAATACATTTAAATATTTCACTGTGTATTAAACGTATATTTTTTAAAAAATTCTTGAAAATGACATTTCATTATTTAATGTCATTATTTGAAAGGTACATTTATTTATGTCATGGGACATTTAATGAATTAATTGTTTATTTAATGATTTAATGATGTATTGAATAATTAAATGATACATTTGATTATGCTGCATTTATGTATTTAAGTTTGTCATATTCCACCCTCCATAGCTGCATGAGAGCCATGAAATGAATAAATACACAATGAGATAATTAAATCAATATTATTATTATTATTATTTTTAATTACATCATTATTTAATGTCATTTTTTAAAAGGTACATTTATTTATTTCATGGGACATGTTATTAATTAATTGTGTATTTAATACTTTAATTGTATATTTGATGATTTAATGATGTATTGAATAATTAAACGATGCATTTAATTATTATGTAATAATTTATTTAATTTTGTCATATTCCACCCTCCATATCTTATCTAATTAAACAAATCTGGTTATTTGTTTCTTATTACTGTTATTAGTTAGCTGGTTCAGTCACTTTTCTTCATCACCAGGATTCTGGCCATCAGGAAAACAAGTTGTGAAGACTTTAACCTTCAGGGTCCAACTTTAAAAAATACTGTGTGTTGTATAACTACATCATCATGTTTGAAGTTCACTGTGTTTGTAGTCGGCACCATGAAGCTGCCTGCAGCTGCACAGGTCTGCTCTATTTCACATTCAAGGCTTTGAGTTACTGCTTGATTTAAAACAAATAAATTCAGTCATTCAGTGACTTTTTCTTTTTAGCCACAAACAAGTGAGTTCCAGTCTGATTGGGAAACAGGTATTACCTGGTAAACTTCTTATTTTATTTACAACATGCTTCCTTTTTAGAAAAGTCACATGACAGGGTGCCAAGAAAGGAGGTGTTGCATGAGGAAACCTGGAGGGGCAGAGCAGTATGTTAGACTGGTACAGGACATGTATGAGGACAGCAGGACACTGGTGAGATGTGCTGTAGTAGTGACAGATAGCTTCAAGGTGGAGGTGGGAGTGCATCAAGGATCGACTCTGAGCCCCTTCTCGTTTGCTTTCATGATGGACTGACGAATAGAGGAGGTCAGGCAGGAATCCCCGTGGACTATGATGTTTGCAGATGACATTGTGATCTGTGGTGAGAACAGGGAACAGGTGGAAGAGAACTTCGAGAGGAGGTATGCAGTTGGAAGAAGAGGAATGAAAGTCAGCTGTAGTAAGACAGAGGACATGTGTGTGAATGAGAGGGAGGCCGGTGGAACAGTGAGGCTACAAGGAGCAGAGGTCACAAAAGGTGCAGGACTTCAAGTACTTGGGTCCACTGTCCAGGACAATGGGGAGTGTGGTAAAGAGGTGAAGAAGAAACAATAAAGTTTTATTTTTCTTTAAATGATCAACGATACAGGTCATCATGGTGTAAAGCTTGTTTTAATGTGACCTCTTAGTGAAGTTTTCATGTTTAGATACTAAAACTAAATCTTAGTAAAACTCCATCTCCATTCATTTTTCTCACACTTCCATTCATCGTTTTTTTTCCGTCCAGTATGAAGCTGTACGGTAAAACGTCATCCGTGGTGGATGCATTCCTGTTTTCACACATCTTGCCGCCAAATCACAGGCTGAGCTCACATTTCTATTATTGTGCTGTGAGGAGGAATAAATAGCAGCGAGGATGTTGGGAGCGGGGCTCCAGGGGTCAAAGTGACAGTTCGCACCAGCAGAGAGGCCGAAGCGCTCCGATCACTCAGAGCATGTGTGTAAGCTCGTCCTCAGGATTCCTGTGGTGTCTCGACTGTCCGCTCAGCTCGCACCGTCACTTTTCCTCTGCTGTCTTGTTCTACCTTCAGGTGTCTCGTTCTCACACTTGTCCTATCTTGTTCATTCCCACCAACAAACCTCAGACTAGTCTGTAAAGTTGGCAAAAGCACTGGTGTACAACTGAAATGAAAAAAAAACTAAAAGTTGATCCTTGTGATCAGCAGCTTCTGTTAAAAAACAGCATGATTGAACATGTCCTGATGCATGCTCAATAATCCAAGTAGAAAAATCAAAAAAATAAATAAATAACATAATCAGGTCCTCTGGACGGATTCTGTTTGTTGAAACGTTTCACCTTTCATCCAAAGGACTTCTTCAGTTTGAGGAGCTGCAACAAACTTAAGTCTTATAAATAGCACCTTCTCGTGGTGGATCAACTGCTGGTGACAGCCAAAACTAGTATGATAAAGGAGGACCATCAGTCTAACGACCGATCGTTAGCGCCCTGATGGCCGCTTGCTATTCACAGGGGGCTGTGTGATACTAGCAAACTAGCAAACAGCATTGTAAGAGGGGGACAGTTGAACACGGAGGCCTCCGCCCTAAGGTGGCCC